CGCTCTTCTTCAGAAGAATCTGTTTAACTCATGCTGTTGGCTACTCTCACCACCCCTTCCCTCCTAGGCATTTTTCTAGTGCCTCCCTCGTTTGATGATCATTTCTTCAAAAAACAAGAAAAGAACATACCAAATTCCTTCCGAGGGTACTCCGGAGAAGAGTTGCCACTGGAGCTGCCTGGAGAGGGGATACAAACACTAGAACAAATGGCCGCTCAGACCCACAGGGCTTCTGAGCAGCAGTGCACCGTCATTCTTCTCTGAAGCCCCACAACCCGAGGTGTATCGGACAGGGATGAGATTTGCTCTTTAGCAGACACTTTAGATGAGACAAGTTTGCAATTTAAAATGTGACACATTATGAACGTGGTGGTAGCACTTCATTCTGCTTACATACCCACTTCAGATGTAGCAGGGCATGAACGTGAAAGCAGGAGGGTTTCCTTCCTCTCTCACCTCTCTCTAGTCTTTTTTTCTTGCATCTTCAATTGAGTTTCCCCTGTACCAGTGTTAGAGCAGGTGACCTGCCCCTGATCAAATATACATGGTTTTGTGTGACCTTGTGAAGCATATCTTGACTTTGGGCCCCACTGAAATGAAATGTTAAGCTCCCGCTAAGGTCTAACATCAGCAAGCACTGGAGTGATGCCATCCATCTCGCCTAGATTCGGGGTTTCCCAGCACTCCCTGTGACAGCAGGATGGTATCTCTTGGGGAGGGGGTGTCATGCACCCATTCATTTAATTCCATCCTTCACACAATCATTCACTTAATCCCAACCCCTTGTCATTCACTGAATTCCAATCCCTTAATGCTGCCCCTCTATCACTGGGTTTTTGTCTCCACTCACTAAGAACCCATGTGCCATCTGGCTTGTCAGTTTCCTACTAAAACTGCTCCTGCAGATCACCAGGAACTCCAGTAGGCTTCGCAATGGAGCCCAAGTAGCTTCTCTGATTCCTTCTTCTTGACCTTGAGTACTTCCTTGCACTGACTTCAATGACGTGGCATGATCCTGCGCTCTCCACCCACCCCAAAGACTCTTCCTCCTCTCTCTGTTCTCTTGCCTGTCTTTTCCCTTCTTCCCTCAACTTTATCTTTCTTTGCTCCCTCTGCTTTTCTACTCCTTTCTTTGGCAAAGTCGGTCCATCCCTGACTTCCTCTGAGATCTCCAGGAGGATGACTCCCGACTGGGTGTCTCACCTTGGCTTCCTCCCTGAGCTCAGGTCCAATGCCTCCCACTGTCTGCTGCCGGTCCACCCGAGAGCTGTGCCCAGAGCTCCATTTCAGGACGACATAACTGACTTCATCCAAGTGAGATCCTCTGTGTCCCCTGACTCCATTGCTGGCACCACCATGAACCTGACCTGCTTTTGCAACCTTAGTGGAGTTGCAGGCCCCTTTTTTCTCCTTACATTTGATCAGTTGCCAAATCGGTCAGTTTCACTTCTGTGTGCCTTTCACCTCCAGCTTCTCTCTGAGCTGTTACCAACCTTATCCCAGCCAAAATTTCCCTCTTCTAAACTATTGCAGATTTACTTATAATTGAGTTTTTTTCAGCAATTCTCCCTGCACATGGCTTCCAGAGTTTTAGCCCCAGGCTGCAGATATGATTGAATGTTTTACCCAAAAATCCCTGTGGTTTCCCATTGTGTGAAGAATAACGTCTAGGGAACCAGCAGTTAGCGTAATGGCTATGTCACTGGACTCCCACGTAGTCGACCGTGGTTCGTGTCCCGGACCCGGTGGCTTAAACTCACACCGGGCGCGTGTGCGTGTGTGCCCAAGATCCCAAGAGGAGAATAGAGGAGAAGGGATTGCGGTGTGATCATCCCCCCTGGGGGATGATTTCTTGCTTTCTGTCTCTCTGTCTCTCTGTCTGTCTGGCGAGTGCATGAGCCCTAGAGCGAAAACTTCTCCAAAAAAAAAAAAAAAAAAAAAAAAAAAACATGAAAACCTTTTATCCAAGCAG